GCCATTAATGCTTTTGGATGAGGTGCCTCTCAGATCTACACCCTTAAACGAGTGTTATTCAAAACTTACCTCATGAATATAGCCTTCATGTTGGAATGGTCAGGGCTGGACACTTAGTTGGTAGATGACAGCAATAGAAAACCTAATCTTAGTATTATGGGTTTTTATATTTCATCAGCAGTTTTCTTAGTAAAAATGTACCACATGCTACACACAAATCAGTTTTTGCCAACTCCCAACTTTTATGGATTTAATTTACTTTGTTGCTATAATCCTCCTGTATACCCATTTTAAATTTCCTTTTAGCTAAATAGGCATTGTATTTTCTTAACTGTGATCTTATACTTTCAACACAAGTAGTAGAATATTTTTTTTTTAATTTTTTTTTTCAACGTTTTATTTATTTTTGGGACAGAGAGAGACAGAGCATGAACGGGGGAGGGGCAGAGAGAGAGGGAGACACAGAATCGGAAACAGGCTCCAGGCTCTGAGCCATCAGCCCAGAGCCTGACGCGGGGCTCGAACTCTCGGACCGTGAGATCGTGACCTGGCTGAAGTCGGATGCTTAACCGACTGCGCCAGCCAGGCGCCCCCACAAGTAGTAGAATATTATAGCATGTCTAGGATTTATAATTTCAGAACTGGATAACTGTACTTTCATGCTGTATGTTTTCCTAGGAGGATGACTTATAAAATTAGGATGTTATGGCTATTCAGTCATCTTATGTTTATATATGCCAGGAAATATAGTATCTCAAGTTCTTATTCAGTAATCTATAGCTGTAGAACATTGTTTGGGTTTGATTTTTACCTCATTTTTAGAGGTTTGCTTTTTTTTTTTTTTAAAGTTTTTAATTTTTTGTCTCAATGTTTGTGTTTGCCCTTTTCTTATTGTGGGTAATCTTTTTGGGTAGCCTTTTGCTGCCAACCTACTGCTTATGTCAGGTTTACTGGGGATGTAGACAGTGAGTCTCAGGTAATTTTATAGCATTGTTTAATTGTACACAAGTGATACATTGGACCTATTTCAGAATATTGGTGATCTACAGATTTCATTTAATTTCATTTAATATCAGGGCATAAGGTCCTTTAGTTAGTCAGACTTTCTAATACATTCTTTATGTATCCACTTTTTATCACTGTTAATATTTGTACCTCATTTGTGTGTTTTATGGGTTATGTTTATAGATATGTTCAGTTTACTTACAATAGTAATTTTTTGAGTAAAATAGAGAATTTTTCTAATGACGTATTCTAATTGAGGAAATTATGTCATCAAGTGGGAAACAGTTTTAAATACAATTGACCTCTCCTACATGGAACTAAGAGAATTTGTTTTATTTCTTCAGTATTTATCCTGTTATTTGTACTATTTTCACAAAATTTGTATGGTTTTAGATATTCTTAGATTTTTCTCTTCGGCACCATTTAAATGTACATCCTCTTTGGCATGTTAGAGAACCACAGTGTTAATTGTACATTATGTTTTTCTCATTTGAGGTTGGCAATCTTTTTTTAAAAAATTCACTTGAGGGACGCCTGGATGGTTCAGTCAATTAAGTATCCGAGTCTCGATCTCAGCTCAGGTCTTGATCTCACGGCCGTGAGTGCAAGTCCCGCATTGGGCTCTGCACTGGGCTTGAAGCTTACTTAAAAGAAAAAAAAAATTCCATTGAGGGGCACTTGACTTGCTCAGTCAGTAGAACATGCAACTCTTGATCCCAGGGTTGTAAGTTTAAGCCCACGTTGAGCGTAAAGCTTATTTAAAAAAAAAAAAAAATTAAAAAAAATTCAGGCGAACATGGGATTTTAAATTTTGTTACATATAATATATAAATATGCATATTTAAAGTATACTCATTTCTGTAAACAAAGCTGAATTTTAAATTAAGAAATTTATAATCAAAGTGAAATTCGTTAGGGTTATAGTAAGTTTTGTAAAGATCTTTTAACTTTCTATTATTAAATCAGTTATTTTTAAGTTTATATAAATATATAGTTTACATTTTTGTTTTTATTTAAAAATTTTTTTTAGTTTTATTAATTTATTGGGAGAGAGAGAGAGAGAGAGAGAGAGCAGGGGAGGAGCCGAGAGAGACGGAGACACAGAATCCGAAGCAGTCTCTGCACTCAGTGCAGAGCCTGATGGCCGGCTTGATCCCATAAACCATGAAATCGTGACCTGAGCTGAAATCAAGAGTTGGTTGCTTAACTGAGCCACCCAGATGCCCCTACACTATACTTTCAAAACATTCTTTTAAAGAAAATCTATTTCAAAACTGTGGCATTTTGTTACAAAATGAGTATATATAAAGTCTTTACTGAACTACTCACTGTAGCTATTGTAGTTTTATTACATTCAGATACCATTTGAAAGTAAAATGTTTGTCAGTGGTATATTTGTCCTTTTCCTCCTCTTCTCCCAACTTTAGATTTAGTGTCTCTGAAAAAGCAACCCTTTTTTTCATAGATTCACAGATGCTGCTGATTAAATGAACTGAAACCTCCAAAGAGAGAGTTCTCATCATCTCTTTCAACCTTGCACTTAAACTAATTGCTGTCTTTGGGTGACTGCTCCCCACTATCTGTTTTGGAATCACAAGCCTCTGTGGCCACAGGTGAATGAACCTGGCTTGAAAATGCGCCTCTTCTAAGGCACATTGTTTAAGTAAAAAACAAAATTTAATTAAGCTAAGTCATCATTTGGACCTCTTGCGCATATAAATGAGAATATTGTGTTATGTATTATAAAATTTTCATTTCTGACAAAGCTTAATACAATAGGGATCTTTTTGTTCACTTGTTAGTACCCTAAAGTATAAACTAATTGAAATGGTATTTTTTAGACCTATGTGAAAAGCCAGGATAAAGAATTTGCAGCAGCCACTATTCAAACTATAGGCAGATGTGCAACCAACATCTCAGAAGTCACAGACACATGCCTCAATGGCCTGGTATGTCTCTTGTCCAACAGAGATGGTAAGTTAACAATGTCATTTTACTTCAAGAAATTTATCCTTTGAATATTCTTGGCATGTTCTTCAAATTGTAACATTTTTTAACATCTCATTTCAGTGTTTCCTGTATGTCAATAGCATGGTCATGATGAAAGTAGCATTTTATCTTTGAAATACAAAGACCCACACACACTTCTTTGTCGTTTTAGTAAATTAGATAATTAACTTGGAAACAGTGTTTGTTTCTCCTTAAACAAGAACTAAGAAAGTGTGTTTTATTTTATTTCTTCACAGTTTAATCACCTTCATTATACCCTTTCCACAAAGGTTCTGTTTTACTGCTTTTAATGACATAGAAGTCATATATAATATTGGTTCACCTGCAGAGGGTGCTAAAAGCAGGCAAATGACTATAGCATGGAGAAGTGGCTAGATCAAAAAAGTATGTTTATTGTGTATCTTCAAAGGTTTGTTCTAAAAATGTATCCAATAATTTCATATTCAGGATTAAACTTGATTTAACAGTCATTAGTTTGAAAGCACTTCATGTTGTTAAGTCAGAAAACATGTAAACATATTGTAAAACTGGACAGGTGATAACCAGTAAAATGCATAATCTAGGTTTCATATTGTTCTGTGGTAAAATGTCAGTTATTTCTATGGTATGGCTTTAGAAAGTGAAGCCATTTGGAGAAAGAAATATTAGTCACTTTCACCTTTATAATAATATATTTAGAGGATTTTTATATGATTGTATATTTGATTAAAACAGGAGATTCTTTTTAAGAAAAGCTTAATTTTTTTGTGTAAAATCATTGAAATTATTTGTGGAATTCTAAATATAATTACATCATATTTAGACATAACAAGCATATTGAAACATAAGAAGCTTGAATACATTTTATATTTATACTTTATATTATTATGTATATTTTCATGACAATAATTCTGTTATCCCTAATTATCTATTCCTACATGTAGATCTCTTTAGAAAACTGTAACATTGTGATAAGTACTTCTAAGGATATTATTGAAACAAAATTTAGCCCCGAGTAAGAGTGATTTTTTCTATTGTGAACATAAAATTATAAACCTTAATCCTGCAAACTCAAGATAATATGATGGGTAGAACATTTATCTACATGCAATATTAAAATTCTAAATAAGTGACAACAAAAATTATCAAGGAAATAGATTTTTAAAAAATATAACTGTAGAAGGTAACTAGAGGAGCTTAAGTTTTAAATGTCAGTCATTTTGTCCATTTCTACTTGTATTTTTTTTAATGTTTATTTTTGAGACACACAGAAAGAAGGAGTGTGCATGTAAATGGGAAAGGGAGACTGAGAATCCAAAGTGGCCTCAGAGCTCTCAGCCCAGACCCAGACATGGGGCTCAAACTCACAAGCCGTGAGATCATGACCTGAGCCAAAGTCAGATGCTTAACCAACTGAGCCACCTGGGCGCCCCTTACATTTAATGATAGCATCCTTTTTGTCTCTATTTCTTGTTTTTTTAATGTTTTCTTTATTTTTGAGAGAGAGAGAGCATGCGCAAGCAGGGGAGGGACAGAGAGGGAGAGTGACAGGATGTAAAGCGGGCTTTGCGCGGATGACAGCGCCAAGCCTGATGTGGGGCTTGAGCTCACAAGCTGTGAGATCATGACCTGAGCCGAAGTGGGACACCCAATTGACTGAGCCACCGAGGTGCCCCTTTCTCAGTTTCTATGTCACACTTTAAGTGTGAGTTGAAAAACATGTTTTATTTCCTATATCTTAATAATGACTTTCTGTTTGGTTTTATGTAGTGCTTTTCTTGGGAAGGTATCTCCAGAACATTAAAGGTGATGAACCAAAGTTCCAGGGTAAATTATTCTTTTAAAATTTAGTTGCATATAAAAAGTACTACAAATTATTTAGAATATTCATTGGTTCTTTTACATACAAAAGAATATTCAAGGTTTCTCAATTTTAGTTTTTGACCCTTTTTTCTCATGTGAAATTTGCAAATTGTGTATTTTAAAGCAATTATCTCTACTTCAGCTTTATAATATATTAAAATCTTGAACAATATTTTTTATTGACTTTAATTTAAAAGATGAATATTCTATCTTTATAACACTTTGAAAGGAAGAATAGATTGTTTTATAATTAGATAATGGGGGACAAATATAATCTATGTTCACTCTTAAAGGTAGGAGGATTGGGGCGCCTGGGTGGCGCAGTCGGCTAAGCGTCCGACTTCATCCAGGTCACGATCTCGCGGTCGGTGAGTTCGAGCCCCGCGTCGGGCTCTGGGCTGATGGCTCAGAGCCTGGAGCCTGTTTCCGATTCTGTGTCTCCCTTTCTCTCTGCCCCTCCCCCATTCATGCTCTGTCTCTCTCTGTCCCAAAAATGAATAAACGTTGGAAAAAAAAAATTAAAAAAAAAAAAAAGGTAGGGGGATTTACTAATTTAAACTCTCATATTTTAATGTTTAGACTTTTGTTTTTGGTAAATCAAAACTATCCTTACAACCATGGCTTTTTTCCTACAGTTTGAATATTAAGAAACTTAAATCATAGTCCCCTGATTCTGGTTACATAATCATCATTAGCCTATAGTATCTGATTCTTTGATTATTTATTATATGAGCTACACTTTTGTAGTTTGGACACCTCAATAAAAGTAACTGGTAAAACAAATAAAGAGAATATTCATATTAAAATCAGTAGCATTAAAGAAAGTATTAGTATTTTTAACTTTATAGTGACCGTTGCTGACAATAGAGCCCCTTTTTTTCTCCTATTAAAAGATCTGCTTTTAGGAATAGGTATCAAGAATGAGGCCTCAGTTTCTTTAAAATCTCTTAAGATCTTTTGAGGCTCTAAGGATCTGTGATTCTTGATTTTCTGTTAATTCAAATACCTCATCATCTCTTCAGATAACGTATCTTAAAACCATAGGTGCAACATTTCGGCTTGATTCTTTTTTGCCTATATTCAACATATTGTTTTTAGATGTGTAGATTTTTGGTTTCACTTTTTATTTTTTTATGTTACTTCTGTCTTCTTGACATGGAGAGGGCTTTTCAAGGCTGACTTGAAGCTTGCCTAAAATAGTTCAGTATCACTAAGGTTAATTTGATAATTTCTCAAGGATCTTTATGAGAAATCTGCATTTCAGTTGGCTTAAGATAATTTAATTCTGTAAGTTAACTTACTTTAGTTAATATTGCTAATACATTAGCAAAATTTGCTTGCCTAAATAACCTCACCATCTACTGTAAACTAAAAGGATTGGGGCAGAGGACTACTTTGTGTTTCATTTAGTTTTATATATTTCAGTAAACATTTATTGAAAACTTGAATCAGTTGGGGTATTTAGTAAATGTTGAATAGATGAATGAGGTACTCATTCAGCCTATAAAAGGTTCTTTCCTTTGCAGAGTTAACAGTCTAATAGACGAAAACAGTAATATGAAAAACATGTATTACAGTCTTTTTGTATATTGCCCAGTTAGTCTGTGGTGAGCTATCTGCTTGTATGCAGAACTAGACTGCCTGTGTTTGAATGTTAATGTTATCTTGAATAAATTACTCAATCTCCCTGTGCTTCAGATTCTTCATTTGCAAAATGAGTATAACAGTAGACTATAGTAACCTGGAAGACATGCTAAATGAAATAAGCCTGCCACAAAAAGCCAAATACTGAATGATTCCACTGGTGTGAGATACCTAAAATAGTCAAATTCATAGAATCGGAGAGTGGAATGGCAGTGCCAGGGGATGGAGGAAAAAGGAAATGGGCAATTACTAAACAACAAACCTAATGTTTCAGTTAATTAAGCAAGTTGAATAAGCTCTAGAGATTTGCTGTGCAACATTGTACCTATAGTCAACAACAATGTATTGTACATTTTAAGGTTTGGTATGAGGGGCGGGGCACCTGGGTGGCTCAATCGGTTAAGCGTCTGACTTTGGCTCAGGTCATGATCTCACAGTCCGTGGGTTCGAGCCCCGTGTCTTGCTCTGTGCTGACCGCTCAGAGCCTGGAGCCTGCTTCAGATTCTGTGTCTCCCTCTCTTTCCGCCCCTCCCCTGCTAAAGCTCTATCTCTCTCTGTCTCTCAAAAATAAATAAACGTCAAAAAATAAATAAATAAAGTTTGGTACCAGGGTAGATCTCATGTTCACTGTTCTTATCAAAATAAAATAAAATTAAAAAATAGTAGGTTGTACTTCTAGAGTAAGGGCCATTAAGTTTTGTTAAGGACAAGGAAGAAGCTTGGAAAGGTGAGAACACAGGATCATTTTGTGCTTTGGATAGAGCAGCACCACAGTCCTGGAATATTTGAAAAACAGGAGATAGTATCAAGGAAGAGTATGGTGTGATTACAGGAAGGGATAAGAAGGCACATGGAGTAGACAGAATCTTGCCTCCCACATAGATGTCCGGGTCCTTATGCCCAGAACCTGTGAATATCCTTACCTTACCTGGCAGAAGGGACTTTTCCGAGATTAAGATTCTTGAGATGGAGGTCAAAAGGGTCCTCTTAAGGGAAGGAGGAAGGTCAACAAAGTCAGATTTCAGAAGCAGAGATTGTATTGATGCCATTGCTGGAATGGGGCCTTGAGCCAAGGAATGCATACAGTCTGTAGAGGTTGGAAGAAGGCAAAAAATGGATTTTCTCCTAGAACCCACATAGAGATGGTCCTGTTGACACCTTGCTTTTAGCCCCATAAGGGCTAAACTGTTAACTCCTGACTCCGGAACTGTAAGATGCTAAATGTGTATTGTTTTAAGCCTTTAAGTTTGTGGTAATAGGAAAGTAATACAGCATGAAAGATAAATGATGCCAAATATATATTTCAACTGTGGCCAATCCTGCCTCTGCATGTGGATAATTGAAGTTATACAATATTTTTTCTTTTTTATTTTTTTTTAACGTTTATTTATTTTTGACACAGAGAGAGACAGAGCATGAACAGGGGAGGGGCAGAGAGAGAGAGGGAGACACAGAATCCGAAACAGGCTCCAGGCTCTGAGCTGTCAGCACAGAGCCCGACGCGGGGCTCGAACTCACGGACTGTGAGATCATGACCTGAGCCAAAGTCGGTCGCTCAACCGAGCAAGCCACCCAGGCGCCCCTACAATATTTTTTCTTAGTCTAGTTTTGCTATATTTTAAAAATATAAATTTTTATACTGTAGATTCTTAAAACCACATTTACTATCTTTTACTTTGCATCATAATTACTTATATAACCATTTAAATTTTCTTACTAGAATGTAAGTTTGACAAGAGCAGGATCTTAATCTTTGTATGCATCAAAGCTCAAAGCAGTGGTCTTTATAAAAGTAATAGCTGTATGTAGTAACTTAGAATTTTGAGGTAAAATTGTACATTCATGTTCTGAGTTCGAATTCTGGACAAAGTCATATAATTCTAGTCCATTTCTCTCTTCATCTTTAAAATAATGATAATAAGATACCTACCATATGTTACCGTGAGTAGAGAAAGAAATACATCATTTTGTAAACTGAAGCATTGTATAAACACTGATTTATCATTCCACTGGAGAAAAAGGTATATATAGTTTGAAATATGTATATTTAATAATGATTAGAATGGTAAAAATTTCACTTACATTCTTAAAGGGAGCTAGATAAGAAAATATATTTCAGGGAAAATAATAAACACAAATCTTGGTATTTTCAGTATGATATTGAAATAAATCTTTGTAGTGTATGCCAAGGGAAGCTCTAATATCCATGAAGCCCTGTTAATAAAAAATGTCAAAGTAATAAGTGAAGGCATTGTTGACTTATTTTTTTGGCATCAGTAGCATTAATAATTGTTTATGCAAGGTTCATTCCATAAGTTCAGGTGCTCTGGCTAGTTCAACAACAATTCTCTGCTGGTGCCACCATAAATGCAACTCTGGACCAGTGATTAGCCACTTAAGTTTGATAACTGAGTCTCAGAATCCGTTTGAGGATCTGCTTCCTTGGAGCCACTCCCACTGCCAATTATTATATTAGTAAGGCCCTGGCAAGAAACAGATGGCACACTTAAAAGGAACGATTGAAGAGAATTTAATGAAGGAACTACCTATAAGGTGTGGGCAGGATTAAGGGAAACCAAGAAGGTAGGACATAACACGCTGGAGCTAACAGGCTAGCAACAGTGGGAAGCCCCTTTATCAGATCTAGAATTGAAGGGAAGGGGCAACCAGACTCAGCAGGAGAGAACCACTCCCAGGAACTGAAACTCTCCAAAGAGGAATGCATGCACTGCCAAGGGAGGCCTTGCAGTAGAGAGAGCAAGGATAGCAAATACGCTGTCCTTCTGCCCTTGATCTCCTGCTGGTGCTTTCTGTCAGCTAAACACAGCTGGAAGCCAGGGGTAAGGGAGTCTGGTTGATGCAGTCCACAGAGGTCAACCTCTGTGGGCACACAGTAGGTCACGAAAGGCAGACAGTGGATTCATGCAACAAATGGAGACATTCCAGTGCACAAACCTACTCTTTCTGGCTTTGAAGTCTGTTATTTCTATAGTAACACTTTTCTTACTACTGATGATCCTTACTACTCGCTTGTCTGGACAGACCACTTAAGGAATTTTTGTTTTTAAAAAGTTTGCTGTTTTCTTTAGAATTGGAAAAAAGTTACTTAGATTGTAGGTGATTACCACTTTATAATTGATAGGAATCAAAGAACTGTATAACTACTTAATTACCACACTGTGGTACAAATCAAGTATTTGAAAGCTATAGTTAAAAACCAGACACTTGAACATTATGGTGTGTACCAAAATTGAACCTCACTTTCCTTTTTTGACTCAAAGAGGCAGGTATTGAAAAGGGGTATCAGAAGCTAGGAGGCAACAGCAGAGATTAGAAATTTAAGTGTACTCTTCTGCTTAAAACAGTGTGAACCCCCAAAATTTGGAAATTTATTCCTGGTTATAGTTTTCACCTCGTCATTAAGACACGTATAATATTTTGTGAATTTAAATTTACATTTGACCAAGAATATTGCATTTGAATTGCATTACACGTATGTAATATGAATGATCTCTGTCTTTTTCAGAAATAGTTGTTGCTGAAAGTGTGGTTGTTATTAAGAAATTACTGCAAATGCAACCTGCACAACATGGTGAAATTATTAAACATATGGCTAAACTCTTGGACAGTATCACTGTGAGTACCAGTTAAGAGATCTTTCCTGAATTTTAACTAGATATTTGTCAGTAAATTATAGTGTTAAAATAAATGGACATCTTAATGTATAGTGGCTAAGAAACCTTAACTATCTGGATTCACATCCTGCTTCTAAGATTTGACACTGTTGTGGAAGGGAATTACAAATCTGAAAAAGGGGAAGGATGCAATAAATGCTGTAGTGTTAGATTGGAATTGGAGATAGCAGTGTAAACTTCATAGGTTTTTATATTCTAGATGTATGTGAGTGTTTTTTTTTTTTTAATTTTTTTTTTCAACGTTTATTTATTTTGGGGACAGAGAGAGACAGAGCATGATCGGGGGAGGGGCAGAGAGAGAGGGAGACACAGAATCGGAAACAGGCTCCAGGCTCTGAGCCATCAGCCCAGAGCCCGACGCGGGGCTCGAACTCACGGACCGCGAGATCGTGACCTGGCTGAAGTCGGGAGCTTAACCGACTGCGCCACCCAGGTGCCCCGATGTATGTGAGTGTTCAAATGCATGTGTGTATGTGTCTACACACGTTTATATGTATAGATATGAATGCATATATTGGGTATACAAACATGTATTTCTTAAGTTGTCCTTTGAGAGGGCCTACATGCATAATACTCGAATACAAATGAGCACAGCTAGTGCCCAGATCTGGTTTTGTTTTTTCAATTGAGATATAATTTTATACCATAAAATTCACTCATATAATTTAGTGGGTTTTGGTATATTCATAAGATGGTGCAATCATCACTCCTGTGTAATTCCAGTGTGTTTTCATCATTCTCATAAAAGAATCCCATGGAAATACAAATCAAAACCACAGTGAGATACCACCTTATTACACCTGTCAGAATGGCTAACATTAACAACTCAGGCAACAACAGGTGTTGGTGAGGATGCAGATAAAGAGGATCTCTTTTGCATTGTTGGTGGGAATGCAAGCTGGTGCAGCCACTCTGGAAAACAATATGGAGGTTCCTCTAAAAACTAAAAATAGAACTACCCTACAACCCAGCAGCTGCACTATTAGGCATTTATCCACGGGATACAGATGTGCTGTTTCAAAGGGACATGTGCACCCCCATGTTTATAGCAGCACTATCAACAATAGCCAAAGTATGGAAAGAGCCCAAATGTCCATCGATGGATGGATGGATGGATAAAGAAGATGGGGTGTGTGTGTGTGTGTGTGTGTGTGTGTGTGTGTGTGTGTGTGTGTA